CCAGCACAGCCCCAATCAGGACTCACGGCGCGGGGCCGCCCAGACGTCCGAGGTCCGCCTGGACCCCACGAGTCGGCCATCCCCCAGAGTGCTCTCAGCAAGGCGCAGCTGGCGAGGGGCATCGGACAGCGCCCGAAGGCTCGCGGCGTCCAGGGAAGCCTGAATTGGGGGAGACCTGAAACAAACTCCAACCTCCAGGTCGCCGTCTGAATACTCAAGAATTGGAGTAGGGGTCCGAGCCTGAAGGGCGAGGAGGGGAGCATCAGACAGGTGGCCCTGGAGGTACAGCTCGGCGGCTCGGCGCGAGCCGTTCACTGCCGTCAGGCGTGCCCTCACTGAGGAGGGTCTCACTCGTCCTCGTCATCGGGCCTGTACTTCAGGCCCAGCTTCTGCACGAGCTTGGCCGCCTCGCGCTCCAGCCCGCCCCTGGACCGCGCTCACCGGCAGCCGCCAGCAACGTCAGCTGCAGCGCCTCCATCAGCGTGTGCTGGCAGCCCTCCCACTTGTTGGCCTGCTGCGGGACTCCGAGCATGATCTGCAGCGTGAAGCGATCTGGGGCCTGCGTCTTCTTCTTGTCGTACCAGCACGCCTTGATGCGGAAGTTGCGGCAGTGGGTGGCCATCAGCTCCAGCGCGTTCTCCTTCATGATGACCGTTTGCCAGTAACTCCTGAATACTGCCAGTGTTGAAGACGTGGGGCCACGGTGGCCCGTACTTGTGGTCCTTGCCGTCCGCCTTGCAGCTCTCCGCGTACGCGCGCCCCGCCTCCTGCAGCACCTTCACGAAGGCCACGCCCGCGCCGACTTGTAGCACGTGAAGCAGGCGCCAGCCACCTCGGCCAACTCGCGCGCGCTGGTGAGAGCGAGCTTCGTGAGGACCAGCAGCAAAGCCGCCAGCGCCCCGCCCTTGCCGCCCTTTTGCGTGGACTGAACTTCCTCCCCGAGCGCCTCCAGCAGGCGGGCCTTCTTGGCGTCTCTGGATGCCGCTGCCCCGCTCTCCTCTTTGCGCTTCACTGCCCAGCTGGGCTCGTCGAACTCCACCGATCAGTACTAGCGGCAAGTCCTCAAAGTGAACTCTGGTATGGCTGTGAAGACCAGCTTCAGTCGAAACTTGAGCCTCACACAGCCGACAGTGGAAGGGACCCTCAGGAACGGCGAGCTCGAGTGTTGTGCTGAGCTGGTGCTTGCAGAAGCCCGAAGCGAACGAGTCCATGACGTGGTTGTACGCAGAACTGCGACTCTGGAACCTACTGCCGCACACGAAACAGGAAGTACCCTGGGTAGCCTCAGCGAGCAAGGTCTTGAAGCCATGAGCCGCACGAACGTGAACCAGCAACTGCCTCTTAGTGAGGAACCATGTGTCGCAGCCGTCGGCGGTACATTGGATACCCTCAGCGTGGCATGCAGATGCCTCCGGAGGTACAGGAGCCTGATGAGGGTGCCCTGGAGGAGGGACACTGACGGAGAGCCACGCAGCCCTGACGATCGAGAGGTCGAGCTCAGTGAACCAGTCCCGCAGATCCCCCTCGTCGAAGAAGTCCAGTGGGACACCCGTCCAAGACCGCATGTCCTCCTCTGTATCCGTGGAGACCCTCCGAAGCGCCTCACAGCCCCGAACGAAATGTGCGGCCCAGGGGTTGGCGGACTCCGTGAGGTGGCCCTCGGAGGTGAGCGTACTGAGGCCCCGCAGCTTTTCGATTTTGAGGTCGCCGAAGATGGGGGCCCACTCACTCAGGTGCCTAGCAGGGTCGAGGGCCCACTTCTGGTACCAGCGCAGACGACGGACCCGAGACTCCACCTCCAGCGGGGGGACCTTCCAGTACCTCAGAACGGCCTCAGAAGAAACAGTACGTGCATGTCCACCCTCCCAAGACGTGGCAGCCCCCCTCATCGCCTTGCGCCCGAAGAAAACCACCCGGCTTGTGAGCTGGTCGACCTGGCTGGGGGTGGGCAGAACGGCCTCGCAGGCCGAGCAGGCTGGACCAACGACCCTGGCCAGGAAGACGGCGCGCCTCTCGGTATAGGCGGTGCGCTTGGAGTACCAATACTTACCCATGGAATAGAAACCTGATGAACTAGCCGTCATCCTGGAACTCAGTTCGGCCCGAAAAGAACAGTTGCCCATGACCTGGCCCCCGAGGTGACGAGTGGCGTCAGCAGGGGCCCCAGCAAGAGTGACATTCTTTTCAATCACCTCCCGCCGGCGAGCGTGCAATCCTTCGCCAACGAACGACAAGAGGCTAACGTTCTTGCCTGGGTTGAGGGCGTAGCCATGGCGACGTAGCTCAGCAGAAAGAAGCAGGTAATAGGCACGTGACCACCGAGATCGCTCCCGAGCCGACGGCTCTTCTGTCACAATCTTCCGAATCGCGTCGTCCACGTAGGAATGAAAAGCCAAGTCCAAGATGATATCCTCGCCGTCGTGGTGAAGACTGAGCTGGCACCAAGTAGCAGACTCAGGGCCAAACTGCTCGTATTGCTCCTGCACTTTCGAAAAAGCTGTACTGATATCGCGCACGAGTACTTTGACCGCCCAAGGGTCTCCAATCAATGCCCCCACACTGGGGCGAACACATATATCTCCGAACATCACTGCAGCAAAGCGAAACCTTTGGCGACCGAAGGAAACGTGGTCTTCCCTCATGATACTCTCGTTGGCGTCCGCCAAGCTCTGCCAGTCCGTGGAGGCGAAGGCGTTGGTGATGTCCTTCAAGTCGGTGACGTGGTTAATGTTGAGGCGGCGCAGCTTCCATGTGCAAAGCTGCTGACCAAGCATAGCCGTCTCGCGTCGCCGATGTGGAATACATCCGTGAGCGAACAGGGGCTCGGTGTGCAACTCGGTCGTGTCGATCGCCGTCGCCATGAAGCCTTTGCCGAACGGGTCGAGGAGGTGGATCACTCGCTTCCAGGTAAGCGCTATGCCCTGACCTGACTAGATCTGCGAAGCCGATTCATGAAGATCAGCATGAGCTTGCGCGTGCACTCTAAGTCAAGTTGCGGGATCTCGTAGCCAACACCATGATATCGTCGAGAGGGACGACGGTAAGGGTGAAAGACCATCCACCATAACTCTAAAGGTGCTGACCAGGGCGGGCAAGCGCGTCGCTTAGGAGCTCGTCTGATCCGTCTACGAATCTCCTGAATGCGATTCTTTGCCCAAGCCATCCCTCCTCTGTCCACGGCGCAATGAAAGGAGGAGGAGGAGGAGGAGGAGGGCGGGCGGGCGGGCGGGCGGGCGGGCGGGCGGGCGGGCGGGAGGAGGAAGGAGGATGTCATCGATGAGGAGGAGGAGGAGTAGGAGGAGGAGGAGGAGGAGGAACTCGAGAACTTGGAGAGGAAGAGGGGGGCATGGAGGAGGAGGAGGAGGAGGAGGAGGAGGAGGACCACGATGTTGATCAGGATATCGAGACGGAGCAGGGCGTCGAGATGGATGAGGAGAGGCGCAGGAGGATGGCACCGCTGTTGGGGCATGTCGGGGTCCTTCGTCATACCGTTGCTTTCCCTTCGATTGCCAAGGGGCTTTACATTGGCACCGCGTCGCCTGCCGAACTAAACGGTGCGCAACGAGGGCCTCGCTTGAGCACTAAGCCTTGCGACGTGGTGGCGGCGGCCGGGGTGGTGGAGGAGCGGGGAGTTTGCTCCGCTCGAAGGACAAGCGCGGTCCTGTTGTCCACGTAGGCTTGAAAACACGTGTTCCAGATTCCCGCCTCATCTTTCCTCAACCTCTTGTCCCTCCTCCTCTGCCCTCAACCTTTCGTCCCTCCTCCTCCCTCAACCTCTCGCCCCTCCTCCTCCCTCAACCTCTCGTACATCCTCCTTCCTTCTCCCTCGACACCTCGTCATCCCGCTTCTCTCCCCTGCCCCCGGATGTTTCCAGGGGGTTCAGGAGGTCCCCCGGCGGAGGTACCTGAACGCGTCCAGAGGAGGGCCAGCGGGGGGCCAAGCGGCCTTGCCAGGGGGGGGTCACCACTGTAAGGGGGGGTCACCAGCACCTCTAGTGGAGGTCGAGGATCGAAAAGGAGGGCGCATCGAGGATCGAGCAGGCTCTGGATTTTTTCGCGCATCTTTGGCAGCCCTCGGAGGTTGTGGGTTGTCCAGGGGCTCCGCTTCGTCGAGGAGGTAACGACCCCTTAGTGGTGACTTCCCTTGGGCACTGAGTGGAAATGTGCCCACAACACTGATTCTCGAATTTCGATGTTCGGATGACGACGACGACGATGGCGACCTTCAGTCCTGCTCTTCAAGCCCGTCGAAAGCCTAGGTAGGGCCAGAAGGGGCCCACAACGCCCAATTTCGATCCTCGGAATTCGGATCCTCCACCTACGTCGTCGACGGTGACATGTCGACGGTGACATTGCGACGATGGTCCTTCGACGACGGCCTGCGGCTCAGGTATTCAAGACCGCCGGGCTGGCCCTCTCTGAGGTCGGCAGGCCCAGCAGGGCCGAGCACGCCCAGCAATCTAAATCCTTGAGCTTCGAACTTCGGACGACGACGACGACGACGACGACGACGACGACGACGACGACGACGACGACGACGACGACGACGACGACGACTACGACGGCGACGGCGACCGCCACCGCGATCAGGACGACGACGACGACGACAACGACGACCTGGCGGTTTGACGTCATCAAGACTGCTGGGCTGGCCCTCTCTGAGGCCTGAAGCCACACAACTCCTCCGCGAGGCGCCAGCAGAGCCGAACACGGCTAAAACTATAGATCGACGATCTTCGGATTTCTCACCACCACGACGACGAGGACGACCCGTCGGCCCCAGGTCGTCAAGACCAGGGGGCTGTCCTTCTCTGAGGCCTTGAGGCCACACAGCTCCTTCGCGATGGCCAGCAGGCCAGCAGGGCCGACAGCGCCCAACATATAGATCCTCGAGCTTCGACCCTCGGACGGCGGCGACGACGACGACGACGTCGACGACGTCGACGTCGACGTCGACGACGACGACGACGACGACGACGACGACGACTCGGCGGCCCCAGGTCTTCAAGAGTGCCGGGCTGGCGCCCTCCGAGGCCACTCAGCTCTTCCAGATACTCGACAAGGAGCGGGCCTGGCGGCCTTGGGTCTCGCGCCGAGCACCACGGCCTGGCGCTCTTAGCCGGGCCCTGCACTCGCTGCGGGCGTCCCAGGAGGGGGGAGCGAGGGCCGCAGCCTCGAGAAGGCGGCGAAGCCGCCACCATTCCCTCGTCGCCACGTCCGGGCTTGCCTGGAAAGGCCAGCGCGCATCCTGTGCGAGGTCTAGGGAGTAGCGGCATCGGTGCTCGTCTGCCCCCTAGAAAAATGTAAGTATGAACACGAGCAGGGCTGCAGCCTCGAAGACGAGCAACGCACGCACGCGCTCGATTCTTTTCTCAGGCGCGGTTCACTGAATGAGTTTGTCCGTGTGAAACGTACGGGTTGCCAGGCGACATGTTCAGGGGCAACGTTAGGGAGGATAGGGTCAGGGGGGGACGCATCGGCGTCCAATCGCCCACTGGTCGCCGATAAGGGCCCGAGAGCCCCAGCCCCCAACCCGCCCAGGAACGTGTGGATTCGCGAGCGGGGGTTCATGGCCAATCTCTCGAAAATGCATCGCCGATTCCAAGTCGATGATTCCCTCAAACGTGCCCCCCCAGAACGTTTCCCCTCAAACAAAGCATGGGCATACACGTTCGGAAGTCTGCGCGGAGCTCTCGGATCGCTCCCCTCGGCGGCGCCTCTGGCGCCATTGCTGGCGCGCGCTCTGCGCGCCAGGGATGGGTGGCTTTTCGCTGATCCGAGAAATCCGAGCGGGCCTCAGGAAGTGTATGCTTTTGCAGCTTCTGCGATCCTACATTGTCAAGACGCTGAAATAAGGACCGCTTTGGGCTCAGCAGCGTCTCTGGTTTTCGGGCCGTTCCTCGGGTCCAGGTCGGGACTGTCAAATGGATTGTCAAAGTGTGGGAAGGCCGAATCGGGGCTTTGACCTCCCCGCCGCGAGCGCCGCCACCCCAGAGGGCCTGTGGGCCAGCGCGGCGGGTGCAGCGGGCTTGGGCCCACCAGGGATGCGCTTGTTGCAAATCCGGGCCTCCAGGTCCCCCAGTCACCCCCGGAGGGGCCGGGACGGGCCGGGCAGACGCGGCGAGCGTCGCGTTCCCTTTGGGGCCTGCCCTACCGCTGGGCGAGCCTCGCCGCCCCCCCACTGCTCGGGGGCCGATCCCCCCCCAAGGTGGGACAGGGCGCCGGGCGGTCGGGCGGGCATTGCAGGCTCGGCCAGCGCGGGTGCGAGGGAGGGCAGCGAGGCGGGGGGGGAGGAGGGGAGGAAAGGGGAGAGGGGCGGCGAGAGAGGACGGGCACCAAGAAGGGGAGGAGGGGGAGGGCAGCAGCGGCGGCAGGGCGGGGGAGGAGGGCGGCAGTTTTGTGTGCGCGCTGCATGCACCGGCGCCGCGCAGGGGAGCCCCAGGTAGCGCGGACCTTCGCCGCGAGGTCGCCGAGGTTTTCGGTGTCGGTGAGCACCCGCTCCGCCAGCCCCAGCGGCGGCGCCCACTCCGCCAGCAGGGCGCGGAGCGCAGCGGGTCCCTGACGGCGGACCAGCAGGTGGTGCGAGCCCAGCGGGCTCGCGCCCGCGCAAGGCGCAGGCGGTCGGTGGGCGGGCCGCCCCCGTGCCCCAGATGGCAGGTTGGCAGCTCGGACGTGACGCGCGCCACGCACCGGGAGAGGTGGAGCCTCCACACTTGGTCTGGCCCCAGGAGGCCCAGCGGAGCTCCTCCGGCCGGGCCTGCCGCAGGGGGAGGACGGCCGCGACTTGCAGCAAGCCCGCGTCGTGAATCTTTGCCAGCTGCTCGCAAAACCAAGCCCGATCCGCTGCCCGAGCCTGCGGATGGCGCAGGACCGTGCCCACTGCCGCCCCTCCTTGCGGCGGGCCGCGGGCCCCTCCGCCGCCGCGGTTTGCAGCTCATCGGGCGGCGGCCCCACCCCGAAGCTCCCGGCCACTGCTGCCGCGTCCTGGAGCCAAGTGCCCCTGCCGCGGGCTGGCACCGCCTGGACTGCGGGCGCGCCGGGCGAGCCTTTGGGAGCGCCAGCAACTGAGCCCATGCCAGAATGATGCGCTGGGCGACTTTGGCGGCCACGCGCGTCAGGGGGGGCGGCTTGATATCACGGCCCCCTCTTCTTCTTCGTGTTTTTTTTTATCATTATTGGCTTCGTCTTCTTAGTTTTAGCCATCATATTCTGCTTCTTCTTTCAAAACGTCCACTTGCCCCCCTCCAACCACACACACACATCTTCCGCGCACATGGCTCTGGCCACGATGCGTAACCCTACGTTCCTATCCCCCCCTCCTCGGCGCACCAGAGTCCCAGACCCCCCCCCTCGTTGTGAAAAGTCACGGGCCAAGGCTTTGGCAGGTTTTCGTCTTCGGGGGGCACCTTTTCCGGGGAGGCCATCCATGCTCGCCAGGCCCGTCCTTGACCCAGGACCGATGTGTACATGCTCCTGTCTTGGCCAGGGATGCATTTCTCTACCCATCGCGTGCCCAGGATGCGCCTGGCCCGAGTCGGTGAGGTGGCCAGTTGACGTTCCCCGACTCCCCGGGCCCCGATGGGCAGGCCCTGACCGCCGAGGGTCCACGTGGTAGCACAAGGAGCTCACGTCATCTGGGTTCTGGGAGGCTCGAGGTCTTTTGGACGTTCGAGGTTCTAGGACGAGGGTTTTCGGGTGACACTCGGTCTTTTCGGGCCTGTGGGCGGCCTCTCGTCAACACTCTGGGTTTGGTGGCGAAAGGGACACACGTATTTTCACGCTTGCTGCGCTCTGGGGTGAATGGCACCCACATGGTTTCACGCTTGTTCCGCTCTGGGGCGAAGGGGATCCACGTAAGCGCACGCTTGCGCCGTTTTCGGGCGACATGGACCCACGTAAGTGCGCGCTTGCTGCGCTCTGGGGCAATAAGGGACCCACGTGTTGTCACGCTTGCCGCGCTCTGCGGTTAAAGGAGCTCACTTCTTTGCACGCTTGTCCCGGGTCCCCGAGCTCGGGCCAAATGAGAGGCTGGTGCTCAACCCCGACTTGCCACCAACGCTTTCACTCGTCCGCGAGAGCTTCGATCGACTCGAGCGAAGTGCAGGGTCGAAGAGTGCCGCGACAGAGGGAGGCAGGCTGAAAGGGAGTGGGGGGGGGGCCGAAAACTTATACAAAGCAGACGTGCCCCCAAACGAATGCTTGTCAACCCAATTCCCCCAGTCACGTTCCTTGGCCTGAGCGCGGGCCTGCTGAAGCCTCGTCGCCTCGCGGCTCGCGAGGTCGGCGAGGCACCGCGCCGACTCCACCGGGAGGAATAAAACCTGCCTCAGCATCGCCGTCCAAGCGGCGACCTCGGCCGTCTCTGGTAGACGGTGAAAGCGACAGAGACGCCCAGCAGCTGCGACGAGCTGCGACCTATGGGCGCCAGCAGGCGACCTACTGAGATCGGCCAGCACATTCTGAACCTTGCGCCACCAACAGGCGAGAGGGGACAACTTAGGAAACCGAGGAGGGTTGGGGGCAGACGGAGTTTTCCACTTAACCTGGAGCGGCTTGTCTCTCCCCACATACTCGTCGCACTGGTCCCCAGAAATCTGAAACAGATAAAGCCACTGACCTTCAGCAGCCCTGAGAAACGCATCCCACTTGTCCTGGATCTGGAGATCAGGATCCGAGCAGTGCACCCCGGCGTGGTCCCAGGGGTCGACCTCGGGAGGGGGCCCAAGACACCCAATGGGCAACTCGGTGGGGAACCTCTTAGGGACCTGCACGAAACGAACACTACACAGGGGCTCGACCGACGGGAAGACGAGCCGAACAGGGAGGTGGGGAGAGATGGGGGCGTTCTGAACGACTTCGGCCCTGGCCTGACCTGCAATCTGGCGCGAAACCACGAAGTAGTCAATGCAGCGCATGGCGGGCCTGCACGTGCCCTCCGTGGGCGCCACGATGACAGCGTCGAGAGCGTCAACCCACGACGTCTTGACCAGATAACTTGGAGTACAATTCCATTCGCCACCGACAACGAAGGGCATGCCAGCAGCCTTGAGCCTAGCTCCCACACGCGAGAGGCTTCCCAAAGAGAAACGGTTCGGTCATTTGCCGAAACTTGCCCCCCCCAAGGGATAACCCCGGGTACCACCGATAGACACACATCTCCAACCGACTACCCTTATATCTTCCCCCCTGGGCCTGTGACCCGACGACGTGAAAGGGCACACAAACACCTGACAATCATGACCCGAGCCTTGGACCTTGGACCACAATTTTCTGCATCATTTCTCGATCAAGACGATCCACAGGGGCCCTGGGCCTCGAAACTATGCGAAGGGCGCCCAGTGCGACGTCAGCATCTCCTCGTTCGTCCGACCCGAGCGAAGTCAGGCAGTCTTAGGGTGAGGATGAATCGTTCCAGAGCTTTCCCGACCGCTCTCAGAACATTCTGGAGCGCTCTGGTACGGCCGCGGTGCGGGACACATCTTCCAGGCCAGCTGGCACTCAGAGACTCCCGAGTGATCCTCAGCCAGCGTTATCGTTAATCATCGTCGGAACCATCCCCACCCCACCAGGACAGGGCACGTCAGCGCTCCCAGCGTACCCCTCCGAGTGGGCACAGGCGCCGCGAAACTCGGATGTGACGGCACCCAGAACCCGCGGAGAGGGGGCAGGGCGGCCAACGAAGTTCGTGTTTTTGTGGTGGGGGGGTGGTTGTCTCCCGAGTCCAGAAATCCTTCGGGGGTGGACAGAACCCCCATCAGTGACACGTCGATTAGTGAATTGTCCGTTTTCGGTTCTCGAGAGGGCGCCGTGGCCGTCATTTTCCAGGCTTGCGCCCGCCAGGTTTGGGCTTCAGGTCGTTTTCACTAAACCACGTTTTACTAAAGGGGGGTCCATCCCCGAATCCTCATCCCCAGACATCCTTCCGATGTGATGTTTTGTCACCTCGGCCTCAGAGCACCCACCCCTTTCCCGGAGGGCAGTTATGTGTCCCGGATCCATGTTTGATGGTCGAAGAGCCCGAAAGCGGCCCCCCGAGGCCGACCCGACACACAAACGCCGCGGCTGGAGCAGTCATCCGGCAACACCCACACGGCCGCTTATAGTACTACGGTCGGTGGCGGGCGTTCTCTGGCCATACCGCCTGGGTAACGCTATACGCTCTACTGTAAGATGTTCGGTTCGGACGGGCGCTTCCAAGGGGGGGCGCATAGGCATAGACCTCCCTGAGGCTTGCACGATCGAAACGTCCGCGGGATGGAAGCAGTCCCATCGTCGGAGTTCTGGGCCCTGCCCTCGTCCAGCGAAGGACAAGACCGGCTCCGTCTCGCCCGCCGAGTTCCGGGAGGGCCTCATCCGGCTGAAGCAGCCCTCGGACCCGAAGGAGCCGCGCGCCCGGGGCCTCGCGCGCGCGCGGCCCGCCCTCCGAGGGGGCAACGATACGGCGCCCGACGTCGACGACGCCCGACGGCGTGGGCCGTCTTGGGGCCGTCTTGAGGCCAACGTGGCCCGTCTTTCGGGGGCGGCAAAGAGGGGGGTGATGACTAGGGGGGGGGGATATCATGGCGCGGGCCATGGAATCTCCCCAGATTTCATGACGCCTCTTCTCATTTCATTACGTCCCTGGCCCCTCTGCTGGGCCGCGCGCATGCTGCCGGTCATGATTTGCACACCCCCCTCTTGGACACCCCCCCTCTTTGCCGCTCCCGAGTCTTGGAGAGGTGTTCCAAAGACGACGCCTGGCCTCAGAACCTCAATGTGGGCCCGACGTCGTCCAGCGGCGAGCCTTGGTGTCGGGCCGAACGAGAGGCGGGGGTAGGGAAAGGGGGGGTTACGAAATCTGCTGCATGCAGCTGGTTTCCACCTCACCGAGTGGTCCATTCATCGATGCATTGGCGCCTCCCGGCGCCGGGAGGCGCCGGGAAAATCAGCTACGTGAGCTGATTCTCAAACCCCCACCCTTGGCTATCCCCCCCTTTCGCCCGACCCGATGGTGGGCCCTGGACGCGGCACGAGCCGCGTCGGGTGCGCTGTCTCTGGACAGAAGCCGCCCCAAATCAGGCGGTGTAAACTCCTCGCCTCGCCCAGAGGCGTGCGATGACGCATTCGAAGTTGATGATTCCGATTGGATGGAGCGACTGTGGACAACATCAGAGCCCGCTGGAATTCGACCCTTTCGTTTCCCGTTGATGGTGATAGTTGTTTGCTCGTCCTTCTTTTAACGAATTGCTCCGAGGTTGACAAGCAAGTGTTGAGATCAACCT